CGGATTGGAACTATTAAATAGGTAAATCCGATTGTGATTCGACTCTTCGACGTAATTGATACTGAACTTTATTGTGGCATACTTGGGTTGATGTCGACTATTTATACTGTTAGTTGTCGACTTGTAAATACTACTTAATATTGATGTATTTTCCGCATCGCATACAGCCGTTTACAAGATCGATTTTATATGTTTATTACTAAGAAACATTCTTATTAATCGCATCGACTTTTAGACAGCTGTCGCATTTAATTTACTTAATCGCATTTAATATTATTATCATATCGCTCCGTAAATATTTAAATCGGTTCGATTTAATTTACCTAGTGGGTAGAAATAACCGCCGCGCCTCGCCGCCAGCCATTGTGCAGTTTATCTAAGTACCGTATCGCACCTTTTTCTTAGTTTGGTACATATGCAGCGCATGACATATATTAAAACTGATTTGAATTTCTAGTGGAGTTCGCAAACTTTGTATACTATAAATACAGTTAAATTACTTAAATACTTATTAACTAACCTGCTCATTTATATTTCTTCAATCACGCATGAAAATTTATTTACATTTAATTCGTAAAAACAAGGATAATTTACTCACTTTGGGGTAATATAATCGTGTTCTAATAAATATATTTACAATGACGGAAAAGGGTGCAGGAAAAGATAGACGCCTTATGCAAATTAAATTGTTAGAAGCTAAGCGTCAATTGTATTTCTCTCAAATAAATAAGACCTTTCAACTATCATCGAAAACAGATGAAAAATCACGGCATAATTTCTTATCACAAGCTCGCGCCGTCGATCAATTACGTAAAGAGTTTGTAACTTTGGTTGATGATATAAATTTATTAAATTTGGAAGTAGATCCCGATTATAGTATTAATTACCAGCCGTTATCAGCTTTTGACGACTTATATTATTTTATTAAGGATATCCTGAATAGTATGGAGAGACCAAACCCACAATCGCAAGCCGTCACACATGCAATTAATCAGGAACATACTATTAAGATTCCTCGTATTGAATTGCCTATTTTCGATGGTGAATTACAAAACTTTCCTTATTTTTACGAAACGTTTAAACGTGTTATACACGAAAATAAAACGTTAACGGATTCGGAACGTATTCACTATTTAATGAGCCACCTTTCCGGAAAAGCAAAACATATATGTGCTGGTATAATCCCGGCGGCAGATAATTACGTAATTATTTGGCAAACTTTACAAGACAAATACAAGGATAACAGAGCTTTAGCTACGACATATCTAAATCAGTTATTTGCATTAAAGAATATTAACGGTCCCTCTGCAATAAATTTAGAAAATTTGGTAGATAAATACGCGGCCACGATCGCAGCACTCAAACAACTTAATATAGATAATTTAAGTGACTTTATTTTTGTTTACATGGGCCTAAAGCTTGTAGATTCCGATACTGCGAAGTGTTTCGAAACAACCGTTCGTAGTCAAACGGACATGCCTAAATACGACGATTTTGTTAAGTTCTTACGAGAACAGGTAAAAATTTTGTATCGAACCAGCACTTCATCACAAACTCGTGGCAGTTCCATGGCACCGCATCCCAACTCTGGTAGTCGCCCATCTAGCTCACGGGCTTTAACCGTGCCGCCACGCGTCTTAGTCTCCACGCAGCAGACCCAAGGTCGTACTAGGCCATGTAAGCTTTGCAACAACACTGCGCATACGCATCTCTATGCATGTAAACCCTTTGCTAACCTTTCGGCTGCCGACAAATTTAAATTCGTTAAGGACAATCGTTACTGCGTTAATTGTTTGAGTAACCAACATACCTCTTTTTATTGCAACTCAAACACTTCTTGTCGCAAGTGTAATGCCAGGCATCACACGTTGCTTCATTTTGGAAATGAACCATTTGCGGCGCAGTCTTGCACCGCCACTGTAGCCGTGAACGAGGAACATGATACTAGTGAAATACTGAGCTCACTAGAACTTGAAGAAGAGTCCTCCTCCGATCAAGTGCGTGACGGTTATTTGGTTGGAGAAGGAAATCCAGAAGTGTCGTATTGCTCGTTGTCTTCTACAAAATGCGATTCATCATCAACAACGCAAGTTCTCGCAACCGCAAAGGTTTATGCCACCGGTCGCGATGGTCGCGATGTAATAGTTAGATGTTTACTGGATCCTGGTTCCCAGAAACATTATATAACAACAAAATGTTGTTCAAAACTACAGCTAAAGGTCGAATCTAATTCGCCTGTAACGGTGAAGGGAATAGGTGGCTCATCACAGATAGTCAGGGGGGCGGCAAATATTTCTTTTCGATCTCGATTCAATAATACAAAATTTAATATTCAGGCTCTAGTGTTAAATCGAATCACTAGTAATATACCAACGTGTAATATAGATACTAGATTCCTTGAAAATCTACGTAGTATTCCCATGGCGGACGATGGCTGGGGTATGCCAGGAGAAATAGATTTATTAATCGGTGTTAGTCTTTTTGCAGAGATGCTACGACCTGGTAAAATTATCGGGGAACCCGGTTCTCCGGATGCGCTTGAGACCGTTTTAGGATACATCGTTCTAGGAGATGCTCCAGCGGTTATCCAGGCTCAAGCCCCAGCAGTCGTAGCTTTTCATGCTATTTCAACATCTGAGGTCGAGACTCTAGTTAGGAAAATGTGGGAACTCGACGAAATTGATCCTAAGCATATCTTTAGTGCTGATGATAAAATATGCGAAGAAAATTATAGCAAGACTGTCACGCGTGCTACTTCCGGACGCTACGAAGTAGCATTACCATTCAAATTCAGTCCAGATCTTCTTGGTAATTCTTTGGAAGTTGCTGGGCGTAGATTTTTGCATTTAGAGCGTAGGTTTACTGCTCAGCCCGCTCTAAGAGAGGCGTACGATAGTGTAATCAAGGATTATATATATCAAGGTTATTTGTCTCCTATTGATACAGCCGATAAAGATCCTCTGCACTTTTACATGCCCCACCACGCTGTTCTTAGGGAAGATAAATTATCGACACGGATTCGACCTGTCCTGGATGCAAGTGCTAAGTCTAGTAGCGGATTTTCTTTAAATGATCTTTTATATGCCGGTCCCAATCTTCAACGCGACCTTTTTACAATCCTAATGAATATGAGACTATTACCTGTTGCCATCACAGCTGACGTGAGGCAGATGTATCTTAGGATAGGCGTCCGTAAGCAGGATCGACGTTTTCAGCGTATCTTATATCGCTTCAGTCGGAATGACAATTTAGGAGGTGGTTCAGATATTCAAATTCCAATAAAATCATTAGAATTCAATAGAGTAGCCTTTGGACTAAAGTGTAGCCCATTTTTAGCTCTTCGCACTGTCTCGCAACTAGTACAGGATGAGGGTCACCGTTTTCCTATAGGTAAAGAAGTCGTGCAGAGAGATCTTTACATGGACGATATAGCTAGCTCACTGATGAATTCCGATCGAGCTATTTCTGCCTTTCAAGAGTTAATCGGGCTATTTAAGGCTGGGGGCTTCGATCTAGTCAAATGGAGTAGCAATAGCACAAGGGTACTTGAATATATTCCTGAAGATTATCGCTTGTCGCAAAATGTCGAATTTCACAAGGACGATACCTTGAAAATATTAGGTCTTTACTGGCGTCCTCATGATGATGAGTTCGCCTTCAAGGTAATTTCAGATGATCGCCCTTGCACTAAGAGAAACATTTTGTCCTCTGTCGCACGTTTGTTTGATGTTTTGGGCCTGGTAGCACCTGTAATTTTGTATGCCAAGCTTTTAATCAAGGAGCTTTGGATTGCTAAAATAGACTGGGACGCTGATCCCCCACAACGAATTACACGACTGTGGAATGAATTCCGACGGGAACTTCCCCTGCTTGCCCAGATGAAATTTCCTCGGCACCTTGGAGTGGTTCATGGCTGTTCGGTGACAATTCTGGGTTTCGCTGACGCGAGTGAAAAGGCTTATGGCGCCGCAGTTTATATTCGAGTAGACGTCAAACAAATTCAGACAACTGTCATTTTGTCATGCGCAAAGTCAAAGGTTGCGCCCTTGAAGGTTGTTTCATTAGCACGTCTGGAATTATGTGCAGCCTTGTTGCTTTCTAAATTAATAAAAAAGGTTTTTGAAATATATTCGAGTAGATACCCAATTGATTCGGTGTTAGCATTTTCAGACTCGACCGTAGTGTTAAATTGGATTCACTCTTCTCCGCACCGATGGCACACGTTTGTTGCCAATAGAGTCTCCAAAATCCAGGACAACTTACCATCGGATCACTTTTACCACATCAAGGGTAACGAAAACCCGTGCGATTGTTTGTCCCGTGGATTAACTCCTACACAACTTATGAATCACCCCCTGTGGCTACAGGGGCCTCCTTGGGCCCATTTACAAAAAACCGAATGGCCAATAAAAACATTTGTGCCAAAGGAATCTTCCGACGCGCCGGAGCTTAAGTCTATTTCCCTAGTAATAATAAAACCAATCGAAGAACCTTTTCTTTATAAGCTAGCACGTAATTACTCTTCGTGGCAACGGTTCCTTAACGTGGCAAGCTACATATACAAGTTTATAAGGAAGCTACCTCTGGGACCCATAGTTGAGTCAGATTTGGAATTTACGGAATTAGAAATTATGAAGGTAATACAGTCAATACATTTTAGTGATGACCTTCAACGTTTAGAGAAAGGGGGATGTCGTTCTCCATCTATTAAAAAATTAAACCCATTTCTTAAGGATGGCGTATTACGCGTAGGTGGCCGTTTGGCAAACTCAGAGGAGAGTTTTGATTTTAAACATCCTATTCTCCTTCCTTGTAAGGATCATGTGGTAGACTTGCTCATACGCTCATACCACTGCAAATATTTACATACAGGACCAGGGTTGCTATCTTCTGTACTCCGTGTTAAATACTGGATACTATCTGCTAGACGTGCAATTAGAGCCATTATATCTAAATGCAACGTATGTTTTCGATCTAAGCCCCAACCTGGGTTCCCTATGATGGCTGACCTCCCTGAACCTCGAGTGAGAGCGGTTGTCAAAGCCTTCGTCCATACTGGATGCGATTATGCCGGCCCAGTCCTAGTAACACCATATCGTGGTAAGGGTATAAGAAGCCGTAAGGCTTACATCTGCTTGTTTACATGCCTTACTACACGAGCGGTGCATATTGAGCTCGCAAGCGATCTCAGCACAGCTTGCTTCTTGGCAGCCATGAAACGATTCCTAGCTAGACGGGGATCGGTTCAATGTTTTTATACCGATAACGGAACTAATTTTATTGGTGCCCGATCTTATCTTCGCGATTTGTACGCTTTTCTAAAGAATGAATATAAACCAGTGTGGGAAAAGCAGTTAGCAGATAGTCGTATCCAATGGAAACTGATTCCTCCTAATGCTCCACACTTCGGTGGTTGCTGGGAAAGTAACATCAAGTGCATAAAAACCCATTTATATAGGGTCATCGGCCAACAAATTCTAACCTTTGAGGAGCTTCAAACAGTTTTAAGCCAGATTGAATCCATATTGAATTCACGACCACTTACAGTTCTCAGCTCTGATCCTTCAGATCCAGCAGCTTTGACGCCAGCTCATTTTTTACATACCGTCCCGCTTGATTTCCTGCCAGCACCTGATATCGATGATTCGATTCCGCATCTTCTAACTCGATATGAACTCTTAGACAAGTTGGTACAGTCATTCTGGATGCGATGGAGGAGAGAATATCTTCATAGCCTACAAGCCCGCCAGAAGTGGAACTCACCATCCTTCCCAGTTAAGGAAGGAACGGTTGTTGTAGTAATACAGGATAACATCACGCCCTTACATTGGCCCTTAGGCATTATAACACAAACCTTTAAAGGTAAGGACGACGTTATACGTGTAGCAATGGTAAGGACTAAGCACGGTACTTGAGTCCGGTGTCAACTGCCGTCCCGAACGCCACGTTTCTGTGTTGCTCCGCGCTGTAAAAATCGTAAAAATAGGTTTTTCGCAACCGATTTTGATGAGTGATATATCAAAAGTTGCGTCTTGACCCGCGGTTTGATTCAGTGAAAACCGCAAGAAAATCGGAGTTTTTATAGAAAAGTTATTGTGAAAATAGTGATTTTTGAAAAATTGGAAACTTTCTAAGTGAAACGCTGTGCGATTAAGCGCTATTACCCTAACTTTTTAAAGTGCGGCCTTGAAGCTATTATCGGCCCCTACACGTGTGCGGAATTTGAGATTTTTCTGAGCCATAGTCTCAGAGAAAATCGCAAAAAAACAAGTGCCACGTGGGCACGTGTTTTCTGAAGCAGAGTCGTGCGGCTATTTTTGGAGTCGCATTCTGGTAGTACGTGCGGAGAGGAGCCGGGAGCAATTTTCAGAACGATTAAAAGTTAAGTGGTTAAAGAGATATCGACTTTTTAAAATTTAGAAAAAATTGTCATTACAATAAATTAAAAACTAAAGTGAAGACCCCCAGTTATTATTTTAAAATATTATTAAGAATAATTTAAGGAACGTATGTAAAAAAATTTTAGACTTTTCTAGTTAGTAGTTTTTGAGTTAGAGATTTTTTAATATATTCAGTTAACACGTGATACCCTTAAATTAGGTGTAGGCAAATTGTAAAATACATATTTAAGTAAAGGGTATTAATAATAGCATAAGGAAATTTTTGTAGAATTTTAGTATTTAAATTTAGCCGTAAAAGTCAAATTTTTCATAAAAATTACATTATTTTGTAAAAAATTTAATTATAGGGGGCTTTAAAAGCCAAAAGATCTATAAAGACGCAAGTTCGACGCCGAGACCTTTAAAACGAGCCCAAACACGGGCCAAATTAGTTAAGAGACGGCCAAGATAGCTATTTATTGTCTGGACCGGCGGCCATTTTGGAAACTTTAAAAACTTAATAACTCTGTTTGTAGAAGTCGTAGTGAGTTGCGGTTTTGGACTATACTATTACTCGATCGATTTCTACCCACCTACAAAGACTCAGGCTTTTCTGAGCTCTAGTTTTTCAGGGTCCTGAAATCGATCCTATCAGAAAGACCGGGTAAAGGGTAGTAGTATAGTCGAAGCGCTGGTCTCCTGCGATTTCTGGAAGCAGAGTTATTGGCATTCAAACATTTATTTTGACATTTCGGCAGCCATCTTGGAAATCAAAAATAGGCCATAGCTGCCAAACTAGGAGTCGTAGAAGACTGGGGTTTGGACCATAGACGTCGGCAAGTAGTGCCGGAACATAAAATCCAGCTCTCAGGAAATTTCAGCACCCAAAAATTAAAGTCCTGAAAGCTACACCATATTATAGCCCTGGTCGAGCCCATCAAAACGAGCCCGGTCTCGGAACTGTAGGCCTATCCGTTCAGGAGTTACAGCGCATTAACCAAAATTTTGTCGGCCATCTTGTTTTAAAACCATAAATTGAAAGCGCTGTAACTTGGGAACCTTTTGGGCTGGGTATACCGAGTTTGGGTTCCTTGAATAGGGCTCGAGGAGCGCCTTTAGCTGATGTTTAGAAATAGACTCTACGTAGAGCCAAAAATTTGTTAGCCTGTAAGTCTCTTCTTTATGAATATTTTTTAGAAATTTTTAAAGTTTCTAGACATATATCTTCTAGAAATTTTGTTTTTATTAGATATTTAATCATAATGTACATATTATAGAGTAAGACAAATATAGACGTCTGCATAGAGTACAGTATATTAACATATATATTAACGAACTTTATTGAAGAGTTATTATATTATTGGATTAAGACTGACCTAATCTTATAGAGTAAGCTAAGACAAAAGAGACGACTCTTGGTAGAGCTAAAATACCTAAAATTTTTACTTTTTATTTATTATTATTATAAGAATACAATTTATAGACTGACTCTAGGTAGAGTCATATAAAAACTACTAAATAAAAATTAAACATTAAAAACTATTTTAACATATACATTGTGTGTAAATAAGAGTGGCATAGTACCTAAACGAAGGTAGAGTTACGACTCTACATAGAGAAAAATCTTGACCGAAAAGGTTTCGGGATCTTTATGGTCCCTTAAACAGAGATAAAATCTGAAAGTACTGTAACTTTAACAAAGTTTTAAATAAATTTATAACATACAAATTTTAAAACTTAAAAATTTGACAAATATTATCTGTTTTTAATGTTATTTATTATTCGTTGTACTTTATAACTTATACAAACCTACTTTATTTATCTTATTTTAAACAAGTGTGTTAATATTATTTGTATTATTACAAATATAATAGTGGAAATTCTTTTTTTAAACTGCTATTGTTCATATTGAATTGCTGTATTTTATTTTATTTTATTTTACTGTCTTATTGGGCGCATACATATTATTTATTATTTTAAAATATTTATAACTTTTTAAAAACTACTAGCTTTTTCAAATAAGACAAAATGTTTAAAACACCTCCACAAAATAAGACTACAGAAATATTGGAGAACTCTATAAAAACAACTCAAGAAACTGAGTCGTCAGCGGGGAGAGCGAAGGAAGGAACATCCCAAGTAAGAAAAAGTGTCGGTGAGCTTGAGTCACGGCTTAGTGCAGCTCCTAAGACTAAGATAAACACTCAACCCACTAAACACAAATCTCAAAATAAACCCTCCCCTGCATCTGGCAGTAAAGAAAACCAAGTTGACCCAGAAACGACTACATATCAGAATAAGGCACAAGAGGCGAAAGCGTATCTGGTTAAAATAAAACTTTTGTTAAATAGCTCACGGAACCTTAAGACGGAATTAAAAGACAAAATTATTGAAGCTCTTGACAAATTATACAGGTTGACGAAAGAAGTGGGAGAAGGAAAAGAAATGACTATAATAAATGAATGTATCGCCGCAGAGAAAAAGACAAACATAGAACACGACCTTGTAAAGAAAATAGAAGAACACAGTAAGCTGCTCACGGAGTGGAAAATAGAGACCCAAAGATTAAGTGAAGAGATTAAATGCCACAGAGAAAAGATAACCACTTATGCTAGTGTGACAGCATGTGTTACCAGGAGTCAACATCTGGAACTTGTCCCGCCCAACCTAAAAAACAACATTCCAGCTCCAATGCATTCAATTATAGTTTCATCGGACAATGAAAAAGACACAAGTGGGGAAGTAATTAATAAAATTAGAGTTGCAGTAGATGCAAAACTGAGTGGTTTAAGAGTTGGAAAAGTGAGAAAGGCCAAAGACCAGAAGGTGATCGTGGGATGTGGAACAAGAGAGGAAATAGAGAAAGTAGCAAACCGTCTGAAAGCAGGTCATACAGGGCTTTCAGTCGAAGAAGCCAAGAATAAAGACCCACTGGTCATTTTAAGGGACGTGCTGCAGATTAATACCGATGAGGATATAATAACCGCTATTAAAAACCAAAATAAGAACCTATTGGAGTCATTAAAAAGCGATGAGGTGCGATTAGCAGTACGTTACCGGAAAAGGACCAGAAACCCGCATACCAACCACGTGATCCTACAGGTATCTCCATTACTATGGCAACGTCTGACAGAGGTCGGGCGTGTACACGTTGACTTGCAGCGCGTAGTGGTGGCAGATCAGTCACCACTGGTGCAATGTTCTAGGTGTCTAGCATATGGGCACGGCAAAAGGCATTGCAAGGAGGCAGAAGACCAATGTTCCCACTGTGGAGGCCCACACGTTAAAACGGAGTGTACAGCGTATACTGCTGGTAAAACGCCTTCTTGCACCAACTGCCTTAGAGCAAAGTTGGATCGGGCAGACCACAACGCGTTTGACAGTGAGTGTCCGGTACGTAGAAAGTGGGATGCTATAGCAAGGTCAAGTGTGGCATACTGCTAAAGTTGTGTCTAAGAATAGGGGCAAGGAGCAAATAAGACAAGTTAGATCAGAGAACAAACCCATCTTCTTCGTGCAAGCAAATCTTCAGAGAAAAGAGCTTGCAACCAACGAACTGATGATTGAGGCTAGCAAGAGTGGTATGAGTATCGCTCTAATTCAAGAACCATATGTAGGGGGAGTGGGGAATATGAAAAACTACCGAGGTGCTCGTATATATCAATGCACCCAAAGAGTATCAGGAGTGGTGAAGACGGCAATTGCCGTCTTCAACAATAACATCAACGTCACTCAATATCCTGCCCTCACCACAAACAATTTCACGGTGATTAAAATCGGGATGGGTGCCTGGGAGATGGGAGTGATATCCCTGTATCTCGAACCGGACTTACCCATTGAACCTTATATGGCCCACTTAAAACTAATACTCACCAAAATAGGAAAAATCGACGTACTTATAGGTGGGGACGGAAATGCGTGGAGTCCATGGTGGGGTAGTGTAAGAGAAGATGGACGAGGGGAAGTCCTAGCGGGTACTCTGAATGAGCTCAACCTCCACGTATTAAATGAAGGAGATACTCCTACATTTGATACGGTAAGAGGAGGAAAGACATATAAGAGTCATGTCGACATTACAGCATGTTCAGAAAATTTGCTGCAGATGGTGGAAGACTGGAAGGTCGACATTGGCATGACAAGTTCAGATCATAACACCATAATATTCAAAATAAATTCAATAAAGACATCTGGAGTAATAATACAAAGAACAACAAGAATATACAATAGCAAAAAAGTTAATTGGAGCCAGTTTCATACGAAACTGGCTCAATTATTAGCAGATAAAAATGTCAATACAATAGAAATTAGAAAAATAAATAACACATGCAATTTAGAAAATTTAATTGAAAATTATTTGGAAGTAATTAAAGAAACTTGTGAAACTATAATTCCAAAAAAGAAAAACATTACCAAACTTAACATTCCATGGTGGAGTGACGAACTTGTCATGCTAAAAAAGGACGTCACCACCAAAAAACGACGCATTAGATGTGCAGCCCCAGTGCGAAGAGCAGCTGTCATAGCAGAGTACCTAAAAGCAAAAGAAAATTATGAATGTGAAGCAAAAAAGGCTCAGATAAAAAGCTGGAAAGAGTTCTGTGCTAGACAGGATAGAGAAGGGTTGTGGGAAGGCATATACCGAGTTATCGGCAGAACTGCTAAGCGGCATGAAGATCTGCCACTTACAAAAGATGGAGTAGCCCTAAATAATGCCGAATCGGCGAGATATTTGGCCGAGACATTCTACCCGAAGGATGAGGTTGAAGCTGATAACGCAGACCATCGGCGTATAAGAGGACTAGCAGAAAAGATAAATGCGGGGACGCAAGATGACTCTTATGATCCACCATTTACTCTTGCGGAGCTAAGGCATGCTACAATCAGCTTCAACCCAAAAAAGGCACCCGGTATGGACGGTTTTACGGCCGACATCTGCCGAGAAGTCATCTTTCACAGCCCGGAGATTTATCTGAGCCTTGCTAACAAATGTTTGGAGTTAGGACACTTCCCCACCAAATGGAAGGAGGCAGTAGTGGTTGTTCTGCGGAAACCTGGAAAGGATGACTATACGCACCCCAAAGCCTACAGACCAATAGGCTTACTACCTGTGTTAGGGAAAATCCTGGAGAAAATGATCATCAAACGGATTAGATACCATATCCAACCTGGTTGTAGTACTCGCCAATACGGTTTTACCCCACAAAGGAGCACCGAAGACTCCCTCTATGATATGATGAAATATATACAACTTCAATTGCACAATAAAAAGATCATAGTGATAATATCTCTTGACATAGAGGGAGCCTTCGATAGCGCCTGGTGGCCAGCTATAAGATGCCGATTGGCTGAGGAAAAGTGCCCCAGTAACATAAGAACATTGATAGATAGTTATCTCCGGGATAGGAAAGTGAGAATAAGGTATGCAGGTGTGGAACAAACACAGGAAACCACCAAGGGGTGCGTACAGGGTTCGATAGGAGGACCGGTCCTATGGAATCTCCTTCTAGACCCTCTGCTTAGAGAAATGGAAGGGAGAAGCGATCGGTGTCAAGCGTTCGCCGATGACATCGTCCTACTGTTTGCGGGGGACACGGCCCTTGATATCCAAAGACGTGCGGATGCTGCTTTGGAACATGTTATGGGGTGGGGAATTCGTAATAAACTTAAATTTGCGCCACATAAGACCCAGGCAATGGTAATAACCAATAAACTAAAATACGATTCCCCACGTCTAAGCATGGGCGGTATGGTGGTGCGTATGTCGGAGGAGATCAAGGTGCTTGGTCTCACCGTAGACAGAAAATTAACGTTCAAAACACATGTGAGGAATGTGTGCAAGAAGGCCACATCTCTCTACACACAGCTATCGAGAGCGGCAAAGATCAGCTGGGGCCTTCAACCCGAAATTATTAGGACGATGTACACGGCGGTCGTTGAGCCGGTGATTTTGTACGCAGCGAGCGCGTGGGCGCCAGCCGCTAAAAAGTTGGGAGTCAGGAAGCAACTAAATACTGTGCAGAGAGGATTCGCTCAAAAAATTATTAAATCGTACCGGACTGTATCCCTACACTCGGCGCTAGCATTGTCTGGTCTGCTTCCTCTGGACTTAAGGGTCCAAGAAGCAGCATCGCTTTTCGAAGCGAGGAGAGGAAAACTCCAGGCAATGCTGGCAGACCGAGTGGTGGAAACAAAGGTGAGTTTTACTGAATTGCCTCACCCTGCATCCTATATGGATTTGCAATTCATATGCCTGGTAAACGAGGACGAAACGAGACTCAACAACAACCAGAGTCTCCGAATATTTACCGACGGGAGTAAAATAGAGGGAAAGGTTGGAGCGGCATTATCTTTTTGGAATAATGCTGCCGAGACCCGAACTCTAAAACTCAAACTGTCGGACCACTGCACCGTTTACCAGGCAGAATTACTGGCCATATATAAGGCAACTGAGCGGATTCTCTCTAGCGCGGAGACAACTTTCGGGGTTTACAGTGACTCTAGGTCTGCTCTAGAGACCATTGTGAACCAAGACTCCCAACACCCTTTAGCAGTCAAGACCCGCAAAAACATTCAGAACATCATAGGGCAACAAAAAACACTACAACTTTTTTGGATTAAAGCCCATGCGGGTCTAACAGAAAACGAACGGGCTGATGAGCTGGCTAAACACGCGGCGCTGCGAACAAAAAGAAGCCCGGACTATGACCTGTGTCCGGTCTCTTTCGTTAAACGTCTCATTCGATCGGAGACGCTACAAGAATGGAACCAGAGGTATAAAGAGGGAGAGACCGCTAGAGCAACCAAAGCCTTTCTGCCGGACATTGAGTCAGCCCACAAGCTGATCAGGGAGACAGCGCTGTCTCCGACGATGATCCAGGTAATGACCGGACATGGTGGGTTCTCCGAGTACCTTTACCGGTTTCGGTGCAAGGATAGCCCATCATGCATCTGTGAGCCTGAAATCGAGGAAACAGTGCTGCACATCCTCTTGCAGTGTCCTCGATTTGATAAAGCCAGATACGAATTCGAGTCGGAAACCGATATACAGATAATAAAAGAAAATTTATACACATTGTTGACAGAAAAAAGGACGCGAAATAAGTTTATCAAATTTTGTGAGGGTGTAGTTAAGCAAGTAATTAAAAATAACCAGAATTGAATGAAAAAATTAAAAAAAAAAAAAAAAAAAAAAAAAGGATTTTAAAATGATTTATAATGACGAATATTTTTAATGTGATAAATATGACTATTGATTATTACTGATTATTAGTATTGCTATTTCTGAAAAGTTGTTGTTAATTGGACTAATTCTTATTGTAATTATAATTTTAGGACTTAAGATTAAATTTAGAAATACAATCGGTGCTTCCTTGTGTTTATACTTATATATACAGAGAGAATGCACTGAATCCAAATTCAAAATTTATAGTTATAAATAAATTGTATGTTTTAAATATAGAGGTATGTATATGTAAGAGACAAATGTTGTTGCATGCTTTAGATTAAGAGTAGTAGGACTCCCGAACGAAAACCCGGAGTCCTCTACACCCTCTATAAAAATTAAGGACAAAGCAAATAAAAACACGAAATCAAAGTCCATGTCAAAGCTGACAATGTCTCTGACCTCCATGTCAGAGGGAAACAGCAATACATACAAAAAAAAAAAAAAAAAAAAAAAAAAAAGCACGGTACTTACCAAAGACCAGTGGTTAAATTGTGTCCATTACCAACTCAGTAAAATTCACAAATTATTTAGGTAAAGGGTAGATTAGCCTCTAGATAATAAGTCATAGATAAGTTAGTGGGATTAAGTAGATATAAGTAGTTAACAAACATTCTTTAGTATGTTGTAATAAGGTTCATGGAAGTGAAAATAAATTAATTTGGTCGATAAAGATGATTACACCTTTGAAAGCTTCCCTTTCAAGGCCGGGAGGAATGGTTCGGCTAGTTTAATAAGCAGCCGAAATTTCTTTGTTTATTTTGCTCTGAATACTCGCAACTGTTACACCAATGTTACTTTGGTTTGGATGTCCGTGTATTTCGCGGGTCGATGTGATTCTTGCGTACTATTGGTCCGTTAAAATTATGGACATCTTCCCGTCACGTGATCACATACTGTCAACGCCGCGCGTCGTGAGAAATGGCACGTTTTTTCGCTGCTCCCTAATATATGTTCCGCCGCAAGTTATTCCTAGAATTGGATAATCGTGAGTGACCGAAATCCGTGTAGCTGGGATCCCCGAAGAAGCGCACGAGAGCAGGAGCATCCGCCTTCGTATATTCAGGTACGTCCGACCTTAGTAATATTGTCTAGTTAACGGTATCGAGTAGAATCAGCCAGCGTCTATGCAAATTACAGTCCATTTACCATTTTCAACCACTTATAATGTTTCGAAAAATATTAAGGTTAAACAAAAATGATTAAATATGATAAATAAAGAAGACTGGGTTCCCAAAAATTATTCAACTATATGTAGCAAGCACTTTGAACAAAAATGATTTTTTTTTTTCATAGAAGTGCACAAAGAGTAGAATGTTGCGTTCTGGTCCAATACCCAAATTATTTATGCCAGGGCGTAGTTCCTTATTATATATTTTACTGTACATATGTTTATTTCGTTTACGCATGTTCAAATGTGTACAACTTGTTGTCGTCATTTTTATCATGTATATTTTTTTATAACAGGAAAGTTACAAAGGTATGGAGGATGCAACCAGCGGCGATTCCGGTGAGATATCGTGGACCCTGTCTGCCAGTTCAGCGAGTTCGCTGAGGGACAGGCTCATCTGGGATGCGATTATGGTCGGCAGGTTGCTTGGAAGGCGGCTCGTCCAAAGTGACCTCGAAAAATCGTCTAGTATCGTAGGGGCAGCAAGGTGTTGCAGATAACGCAGGAACTGTGATGGTTTGCGATCACCTAACTCTTCCGACTGTAGGAGCTGCTTCACTTTTTTTTTCTTTCGAAATAGAAAGACGCTTGATTAGCTCACTTATAAGTTTCTCATATTTCCCCATGACTGAAGGCGAATTAATAATATCTTCTACCTCTACTGCATACTGCCGGTTCAAATGCGAAAGAACGTAGTGGAATTTCGTCAAGTCATCCGTAATTCTCGATATGCTAAAGCGATCTTCAATTTTTGAAAACCATATCGTTGGTTTTTCCGGCCAAAACGGTGGTATTCTCACGCCAACACGAAATATATCACATGAATTATCGTACGAGTCAATGGACACGCGCTCTCGTTTTTTCGTTGACCGCGCCCTTCTTCGCGAATGCGTTGTGTCGCTACCGTCACTGCTCATCTTTCTTAAATGTTCTGATCGGGTTTTTTTTTATAGGATAAGGGTGACAAACGAGCACACAGTCCACCTGATGGTAAGTGGTTGCTAAGGCCAATAGACATCTACATACATCCTCGATTGATTACGAATCAAAATGCAGATGCGCTGCCACCCGCGAGGACCAAGATGGAACGCTTCGTTTCCAGTAAAAAGGGTCTCCGGTTCTCTACACTCACCATACGAAACTCAGCGACGTTAAGCTGCTATTTTACGCTGGTATTCTGTGAGAGCGTGGTCCTTCCCCGGTCGAGCCGACCCATTCGTGCTACAACCATAATATAGCTGCAGCATGGCTCTACCACGTATACGTCACCAGTTATGGAGGATAAGGTTGTGGTAGTATGGTACCTGATGGTAAGTCCGTCGCCGGAATAAAGAAATAAATTAATGTTAGACAGTTATATATTTCACGGCACAAAACATAAAATCAGTTTCATATAAAGAAGCAGAAGGCGATAGATACAATTAAAAATAGATAAGCGATGATAGCAGGAAGTACAGTTTAAATTCACTAACATAAAGTAGGAAATGAACACTAAAATAATACTTGTTATGCGTAAGGGCAAAGGTCGGCGTAGGCGCAAGCGGCACAGCACTCGCGTCAGACGATTAGATTGCGACTGCTGGTCGTTGAACATATCGCGACGTAGGCACAGTACTCAGGTAAAACTTAATACGAATGTTTGTTTCCAATGTACTTCGACCGGCCGGCACCGAGAATTATACTATAATACAATACTAAAATAAAATTTACTATAATAAACAGAAATAGTATAATATATATGTGTAATATATATGTGTGTGTGTGTGTGTGACTGTAATTGTATTGTAGATATATACATATTATGAATATTATAATATTATTATTAAATTGTATACATACATATGTGTGAAATAATAATTATTTCTTTAAGTAAAATATATAAATTTGTGCGTCGCCATAAAGGAATTTAGAGTATCACTTGATGGTTAACGGCCACTGCAGTACATGGTCGCCTAGAGTCAGCTTCAAATAAAGCTACAAATGTGTTTTCACCCCTGAAGACTAAGATGAAATACCTTACAGCTTACAACTACACACTACAGACTGGAACGCGGTACTGTAAGCACTGAAGTTTATTTATGTCTATCCCTCTCAAGACGTTAATGAGATAGTTATTCATTCTGAATGAGTTTTCCGAAAACATATAAAAGGAAACATTGTAAACGAATATGTTTCGAAAATTAGTAAACGAATGCTTTTAAAAAAAATACTTGAGAAACATAATTATGTATGATTCGCCAGCAATATTAAACCATAAACACTTAATTATTGAATTAATAATCGAACTTATTAGATTGAAGTTTGAAGCAAAATTGTAAAATACCTCTAAGGAGGGCTTACGACATTTTTACAATAAATTAATTATTTTTGGTGGTAAATAAAAATCACAAACTTTTTGTTTTTAGTTTTATTTTTGTCCTCAAACATTACAATATTCATTTTATGATACAGACACAGCGCTCTGTATCGATAATTGAAGTTGATGCATGGCACAGCACTATTCGTCACGTACACGTGCACATTTCACTCACACCGGTACATTTAGTTTTTGGTCTCACCTTTATCACTCTATCGCTAAGCTAATGTATACTCATTATCATTTTTAGTCGAAGTTGAATAATAATAAGTATAAAATCTTTATTTCGGATAACATATGATATACATATCAGACAAGAGTAAGAAAAATCACAAAATATTAAATATCATGCAAGAGCTATGCTGCAGCTATATTTCTGATATAACTGTAACAAGAATAGGTCGGCTCGACTGGAGAAGGACCACGCTCTCACAGAATACCAGTGTAAAATAGCAGCTTAATGCTGCTATATTTCGTATGGGGAGTGTAGAGAACCGGAGACCCTTTTTACTGAAAACGAGGCATTCCATCTTGGACGTAACAATGCGCAAAAAAGTCGCATCGCTACTAAATAGAACAAGAAAGAGCGCCAACAATATTGTTGAGGACCTGTGTGGCTGACTTAACTGTGTGGTTCTTTTTTTATATTATATATATACAGGGTATTTTTGGAACGCTCCCGAAAACTAAGACAGGCGACAGCACCAAGTATATCTTTGATCATGGGTAACACATAAATTCGATCCTGATGAAAAAAAAATCATCTTTTTACAACGTTTTATTAGCTCTATTCACGCGCTATCATGTTAGTACAGCTAAATGAAACGATAATTTCATAAAAAAATCATGAAAATACTGAAACATAAAACCAGCAGTGGAATTACTGAATTGATATCAGCTGACTTGAGGTCAATGTACGCGCGAACGCAAATTCGCGCGGCCCGCAACTAGCGGGCCATACCACATTACCTAATAATTTACAACACTTGTCTAAATACCTAACTTATCTACTAAACCTACTATTTTGCCACTGTACTTGTCTCCACGTAGCCACTTTAATACGAATTTACAGGTTAAATAACCCAAATAACTGGTTTGATTCCCCGCTAATGAAAAAATACTTAAATTAATGAAATGTAACCAAGATTGGAGTCATGCGTTTTTTTTCATCGTGTAGGTATGTTTATTATTCTCATGTATTCAGTTATGTACCTATTCAGATTAGTCCAGTACTAAGTTATTTAAAAAAATACTTATGAAACAGCTTACCGCTCTAAATCCTCCGTGGTCTTATGAGATGCGGCTCAAATTGTGCTCCATTCATTTCAAGGCAGATTTGGGCTCGGTGTTGCATCTCCTCATGCAGGCGGGGCATCATCGTGTAGTCTTCGACACAGTCCGTATGTAGTTTGTCGAAAACATCCACGATCCTTTTGTAGTTTCATCAGCACTATCACACTCACGATTAAAAACCCTTTCTTTCACATACCCCCACAGAAAGAAGTCTAACGGGGTCAGATCTGGCGAGCGAGGTGGCCAACCGAGTGGTCCTAGTCCGCCAAATCCAGCGATCATCAAATAATTCGGTGAGGCGCTCACAGACGAACCTCACGACATGTGGAGGTGCACCATCATGCTGGAACCATGGTCGGCAATATTCAGCCAACAATACGTCGTCTAAAATGTCAACCAACTGTTCACTTATAAAGTTTAGGTATCGCTGTCCGTTCAGTCGCTGTGGCAGAAACACTGGTCCCAGTATGCGATCCTTAATACCTGCCCATACGTTAACCGACCATCGGGTTTGGTGCCCGGTTTGTCGAACAGCGTGCGGGTTAACCTCTGAATACACGTGTGTATTTCTTCGGATCCACAGGCCGTTTCTGGTAAATGTCGACTCATCCGTCCAGATAATGTGCTCAATGGAACCAGGCACACGTTGTTGCTAGTTTAATAACCAACGGCAGAAAACTCGTCGGCGGTCGTGAT